GTAATGACCATTTATTTATTTAAACTATTTCTACTCTGTTTATCCACTGTATTTTTAGTTAGAAGGCATCCTTTTGAAGTTCTTCAGTGCCCCTTTTCTTTTATCTGCCTGTAATAATCAGCCATGCTGAAACCAACATGGCTATTTTATGGTGTATCTCCATTCCATTCCATTCCATTCCATTCTTATTCGTTCAGATCTCTGTGCTGCTCCCCTTTGCCAACCACATAGAAGAGCAAATACCCCAGTAAACTGTTCCCACTACAGTGTAAACGTTCCTACACATTCCACCTCTTCTCCAAATGCCTTCCAGAAGAGCTGGGTCTTTAAGACTCTTTGAAACTCTAGATCTTTTACAAATAATTAAAAAACAATCTTGTGCCAAGAAAGATTCTTGAGGACCCCCACTGGATACATCCCTGAAGGAATATTATTTACCCCCAGTTCTTTTCCCCTCCCCCCTTAGATTCAAGTAGGGGTGTCTCCTATTATCCAATATCTCATGACCAGATTGAGTGCAATCATTACTAAATGGGGTTAGCATTATTAAAATGCCAAAATACAATTGAGGGATAGCTTAAACTGGAAGTCTAATACATACATTAGACTATAAAACCATATTTTCTAGCTCAGTTGCTAACTGCTGCAATTTAGAGCTGAAGTAGCTGTTGTAGAGAGAACTAATTTTGCTGATAAGTTATTGGTTCACAGTTTATCTCCCTGCATTCCTCTTCTATTGATTCTCACTTCTAATAAGGTAGGCCATTAACTGGAGCAATGAATGGAGAACATCGCAGAAGTCCTGAATAGTTTGACTGGTGCTCCTTGTCTCAGGATTGGGTAGCGTTTAATTAGAGTTGGAATCGTATTGGTATTTAAAAAATCTTTAGGATATTTATATTCTTGGAACACAGTCTTATGCATTTACTGCAAAATACATTGCACATTGCTTAATTAGGATTATCCCTGCAAAGTATGCATAAAATTGAAGTCATAATGTCTGAAAACACTGTAATCCATATTGAGCTGTTGGAATGAGTTGGTTTACATTAAAATGAGGCTTTATTTAAAAAAAAAAAGAAATACAGATATCTGGGTGGCCCAAATCTTGTTGGTTTTTCTTAAGGCCTTACAAACATGGATATTCCCCTAGGCACTGGAGTTGGGTTAAATGAATAAATAGATAAATAATTATCTTAGTGATTGGAGGGACATGCTTTTTCAATTCCATGTGGGTCATATAGACTGTTGTTTTTTAATCTGATTTTATGGTTTCTGTTATTAACTTTTGCTTTAATCTTTGTACGCTGCCTAGAATCACCTTGGTGAGACAGATGGCCATAAAAATTGTTTAAATAAATAAATAGCCTTCACTGTGCTTCTCTCTATGGTCTTTGGATATCTCATAGTATTTAAATTAGAAACAAATGAACTGGAATCTCATGCAACATTTTTCAAAGTTAGATGTAAAACCTGCATTTTGTGTTTGAGCATCAATTGTTGCTGCAAAATGTGGGGCTCACCTGCCTGTAGCCACATCCTTAGGATTTTGATGTGGGAGATACTATTATGACTCAGCTACAGTGGGGCAAAAAAGTATTTAGTCAGCCATCAATTGTGCAGGTTCTCCCACTTAAAAAGATGAGAGAGGCCTGTAAT